AATATGTGTACTTCCGCCATTCCTTGGATTTTTATTCGATGCTTTCTAAGCTTGAGAATCGATCTCGGACAGTAAAACAGCAGGATATTATAATTTATTAAAATTAAAGTAGTTGGACAAGGAAAAATCCTAAAAATCTGGCGGACCTAACTAAATTTCCTGCTTTGTTCTATCAGGTGTGTATGTTGCGACTAATAACGCACATAAATTTATGCAAAATGTATAATTCGGTCACTGCAACTATATAATAAACACAAAGTTTTTTGTTAATAGACTTCTAAAAGTGTTGAAGAATATGTGGTTTTATGTTCTAGCTTATGTACTTTATGCAATTATAAATAATTCGAAGTACGTTGTATAGTATTTAATTACTGATTCGAAAGTACGTTGAGGCGGCTTGAATAAAATATTCGCTAATTTTTGATGTGTTTCAATTTATCAGTATCCAGGTATGTTCGTCTTCGGTCATTTGGGCTGTGGACTTTTCCATGGTGCCTTGGATGCAATGTAAAAGGTTTTTATCTACGCCCCCTGGTAAACTTACTGCTACAGATGTTCCCATATTTATTCATGGGTGTTGTTAAAGAGATCTTTAACGTCTGGACTTATCCCCAAGGGTTCTCGAAAGAACACCAGGAAGATTTTACATGCATGAACTTGTCACATCCCTTGGCTAGCGAGGTGGTGCAATACTAACCAAGTTCAGCAGTGCCTTAAAAAAGGCAGTTTTGTGGTTTCCAGCACAGCCTTTTAGCCACAAGGCCTTTCACCACCCCCGGAGAGCTCTACCTCCAACTCCGGTAGGCCGGTACCCTCCAGCTAAGGTACAATTAGTTTACAAACCACGATCACCACGAATCCAACCTCAATTAGTGGAACCGCTTGGATACTCCACTCCCGTGCTACAGTATTATTTTTAAGGTGGAACTGATCCCCGGAAGGTTATACGAAGTACGAACATGCACCCGTTGCCTAAGGGGTGCGGGTTCAGTAAGTGTGGGTAGAGTTACTGCTACAATTAGCGAGGTTTAAACTCGAAGAAGTAATAGGGCTACCGGTCAGTCGCATCTTAGAAATATGACGATAAAAGTTGAAAATACCCGCCAGCCGGTAGGAGGCGTAACGAAGGAAGGAAGGGAGAGAAGAAGAAGAGGAGGAGGACGGATTGGATCGTGCTTTCGAAAAGAGAAATTGGACGCAAGCCAAAGGCAAAATAAATGGAAAAGAAGAATAAGAAGAGACAACAAAAAAGAAAAGAAGAGCCATCAATATTTGCCTTTCAAAAAAAAGTTTTTTGTTTTGTTTTATGCGTGAATGTATAGTACTGGTGTCAGATTGTTTTATTCCTTTTATTGTTAAATTAGAATAGACACTTGGAGCTAGCTCTATTTCATTTTTAAAGGGTCATTTTTATTTTTGTTAAGTTTTTAATTTTATTTTCTATTGTAATAAATTGCTATTGTAATAAATGCAGTTAATATCATTTGAACACCGGTTTTTTTTTCTTTTAAATTCTTTCTTTCAGTTTTAAACCTATTTCCTCATTGAGGGATCCATGTTGGCATGTTTAAAATGCCACAGTTGAGTGATTTGGACACAGAACATAGTAATCCTAACCTAACTTAGTCATCCCTAACCAACACTAGGTCGGTGGCGCGGCGCGGCGCAGAACCGACCCCCAAGAAGATACAATACATTGAAATGAATGTAACCCCGCGCAATAGGCCGGTAGGGCGCCGCGGCGCGGATCCGGAGGAAGTTGCCAGACTTCTGGAACCCGGCTCCGCGCCGCATTTCCGGCCTAGTGTGCACCGGGGCGGTCGGAAATCGTTGAGTACGGGTATATTCCAGACACCCATTATTAGAAATGGGGACTGACTACATGATCCCGGATACAATCTTCACAACTTCCTATAAAGTTTCAACGGACTATAAAGGAGAGGAAGAACACAGGAGAGCATCAGATACAATGATATGGTACACAGATGGCTCCAAAACAAACGAAGGAACCGGATCAGGCGTTTTCTGTACAATCCTAAACATGAGCAATCAAACTCATTAGGGTCGGGAAAGACGTCGGTCTTTCAAGCGGAAATACATGCCATCAATGCTTGTGCCCTGGAAAATCTTAAAAGAGGTTACACTGACAACAAAATCCTCATAAGATCAGATAGCCAAGCAGCTATTAAAGCATTATCATGTAAAAGAATCACATCAAAATTAGTCAGTGAATGCATCCAAAATCTCCAAAACCTTGGGAAACACAACAACCTGATGATATCTTGGGTGCCAGGGCACAGGGGAATTTTGGGTAACGAGAAAGCAAACAGTCTGGCCAGAGGAGGATCTGCAAGACAATACATAGGCCTCGAACCTATTCTTGGGATAACAAAAACAAATATAGAATCCTCCATCGCAGAATAGATCCAAGCAAAACAAAAGGAGAAGTGGATAAACTCTAGCGGTGCTAGACATATTAAACTTATGATGAAACAACCCTCACCGAGAGTGGCAAAAACACTGCTGCAATTGGAGAGGGCCAAACTCAGAAGAATGGTAGGACTACTAACCGGTCACTGGCAAAACAGAAAACATCTACACAACATAGTTATATACAGCTATGATCCCATTTGCAGGTTATGTAGTGAGGAGGAGGAAACTGCCACTCATATCATCTTCGAATGCGAAGCAACAGCTCAATGGACGTTTAACCTAACGTTCGGAAAAAATTTAGGGAATCAAATTGCAGCAGCTACAGTCAATGACCTGATACTTCTAAGAAGAAGGATTGAGTCTATTGACTGAACTAAGGAATTAGGAAGGTACAATAAGCCAGAAGGCTGCAGTGCCTGGAGAATACAAACCCCGCTTCCTAGTATCCTTTTCCATCATACCATTACAATACGGCTGCCCTCGGACGCTATGTTTGTAAAGAAAGCCAACGATTGTGACGTGGGGACTCCTGGAAATGCAAAATCAACACTAAACCGCAGCGTTAGTCAGATGGAGGGGGGAAATTGACCAATGCGGCCGAGAGCAGTTCCTACGTAGTATGCGGACCTTCACAATTACGCGCCGCACCTCCCACCGCCCAGCTTTAAACGCAGTACAAACCCCATGACTCGCAATAGGTGCGAGAAGAGAACTTGCCAAATTTATTCTGAAAGGGAGTTTCTATTTCTGCGGTGGCCAACGAAACCTTATTTTCTTTGCAGCCATCCAATTCAGACGTAGGTAGAGAATCGTCAAAAGCCTGGGGCCATTTAGTTGGATCGAGCCTTAAAACCCACCAACATGGATCGTGTGAGTCTAAACCTCGCAATTCGCAATCTGCAGGGTTTTCAGATGATGGTATATGACGCCATTCAGTGGGAGAAGTGATGTCTAAAATTTGTACTGTTGGCGACAAATTTCATTAGACCATGAGAGGGGATTCTAAGCCAAGACAAAACAGTGCGAGAATCAGAGAGTAAAAATATCTAGAGCATACAACATTTAAATCTGGAAGAGTCCTAACAAGTTTTACAAGAAACTAGGCTGCACGCAGTTCCAGGCGAGGGATTGAAAGAGTTTTGAGAGGGGCTACTTTACTTTTGGCTTTGAGAATTGAGACGAAAGGATTGGGAGCGTGAGCGTGTAAATATACAACGGATGCATATCCACATTCCGACGCATCGCAAAAGCCCACTAGTCGATGGACTGAGGGTGAGGGCGGATACGTAAATCGAGGAACACGCAATTGGGAGATCACATCAATTTTATTAATGAAGAGCTGCCATCGAGAAAGAAGTTCATTCGAAAGGGGTTCGACCCAATGTGAGACAGCCATAATTGTAAAAAACATTTGATCCACAAAGTATTGGAAATTTGCCCGTGAAAGGCTTGAACAAAAAAGGCAAAACCATCATGTTCCGGACACATAAAATTTCAAATCCTTCTTCATTACTGAACATTACGGAAGTTTCCAAATTGGAAGGAGGCAGGCAAGTCGGACAAAAAAATCGACATCGTTTGATACCCAATTTCTCAGTTCGAAACCGCCAGCAGTTAATAATTAAGTTGTTCGCGAAGAGATTTTACTCCAAATAGGTCTGAAGCACCAGTCATTACGTCATCAGCGCAGGTACTTCGAAGCAGCGCTCCAGCAGCAAGCGGGAGAAACCCCATGCAGCCGTTCATATAAAAAAAACCCAGGGAAAGGAATTGTAGCAACAACAGTTAATGATCTGTTACTTCTTAATAGAAGGATCGAGTCGAATGCACTAAGGAACTAGGAAGGCTGCAGTGCTTGGGAACCATAAAACCCCCCATTTCCTTGTATCTATCATCATCAACCACGCCCCGGACACTGATCATTAAAATGATGATGGAATACAGTGCCTGACTGTCTTCTACCAAGTTTGCCTTGGTGGTAGGCCCACCTTATTTATCGAGCTTTCCAGTGGCTAGATGTGACAACACAAAGCCCAAAATAGAATAGAAGCAAAAAGGTGTCAGTAAACAGGGCGATTAAACAACATTAAAACAAATATAAACCCTCCTTTTTCTGTCTTTATTTTTAATATGTTAAGACATACTGTGACATTTTAAAAAGTATGCTCAACCTCCCTTAACAGCGTCGAAAAGTCTCATTCTTTTTATTTCGTTGCTTCAAGTTATCGGCTAAGTTGCTTGTTTTAAACAGTCCTTTATTAAATTTTCTAAGGGTTGGGAATAAAGAGGAAAAAATAACACTCGAGCCTTAAGGGAATCGGGGTGCAAAAAATACCATAAACAAATTTCACTGAACTTATTTACTTTTGAACTTGGGGGACCCTTGATCAGACCAACTGACTCCAAAGTCCCGAGGCGAGACTCGTTCACAATTTACCTTCTTCGGAACCGACCGTTTATGCAAATATTTACCCCCATTTTTCCAGAGTTTAGCACTTACCTTGAGTCTTGTTTGCAATGCCTTGAAATATTTTCTATAATGGGTTTTCTTTTTTGGACTTTTTCAGTTAGATCGTTTCAAGGAGCCGCCGGCGTTCGGACCGATGTGCGACCTCCTGTGGTCTGATCCGTTAGAAGACTTCGGCAACGAGAAAAACGCCGAACACTTCAGCCATAACAGTGTTAGGGGATGTTCTTATTTCTATAGGTGAGTGATTTCAATCATTACTACATAAAATGCAAAAGGAAAACCGACTTCTTGAGGTCTGCTTGATGGACCAAGTCTATCAGAAAAGTCCCTACCTCCTCTAACGCAACTAAAATTGTCAAATGCTGCAAACCAGCACGTTTCATAAAGGCCAAATTACAGGTTCAGCTCTCCCTAAATTTCCAGAAAATCCTATCCCTCCTATTCATATATTTATAGAGATTATGGTCAAATAGTATTTATTAATTATTGTGTTCTAAAATATCCTGCTATGAAGACGCCTTTTGAAATTTCGCCATTTTCGCTAACCAACTAAGATTGCTATTTAGACAAGCATTTGCCTAAAATGTTTTTACATGGCAAAACAGCCATAACATCCAAACCAGGATGATTGAAAGCAACCAAACTACAATAATATGTACATACATGCAGCTCTGATACAAATAATCTTGGCTAAAACTAACAAGCAAGCTGGAACAAGAGTCGACTTGTTTCTGTCTCTGCTTTTTCTGGGTGGTAGTTAAAGAGAGCAGTGGCTTATAATTTCCTTAAAATCTTGCCTTCTAAAAGAGTAGTCTCTTTGCTCTCCTTAGATTTTCTTTCTCAAGCCATTTTTCCAGCTTTAACTTTAGTACACCCTCTGTTGGGTCTAGTTGTGGTTCTGGTCCAATGGATCTCTACCTCCGTCTAGTCTGCCTCTTCTTTAGCTAGTTGATCAGCATGATCGTTTCCAGCTATATCTTCATGTCCTGGAACCCATCTCAAGATAGCCTGGCTTCTAGGGTCATTAGGCAATTTAAGAATTCGCACACTAGTTGAAGGACTGTCCGAAAGTATGTAGATCATTTTCTTCTTGATCAACTCCTTTACACAAAGATTGCATTGCCATCGCCTTCAGCTTAGATTATATTAGGGACCATTCCGAGGAATACCAATTTACCCCCTGAGCTACACTTTGCAGTTTGTTTTGTGTCTCATTGTGCAGTGTTTTTGACCACTACTTTTCCATATGTGACTATGGATCTGACCATTGTGGTACAATCTATGCGCAACCCTAAGGTTGTTATTCCCCTGATGGTGCTCATAATCTCTGAACAATGCCTAGTAGCTTTATGTAGTTTGTTGCCCATATGACTTCTCCACTTTAGCCTTTAGTCAAGTGACCTAGATACTTAGTTGGAAAAAAGTGTTTGTTCATCTTTAATATTGTAATCTTTTAGATTTAGCTTCCGTCTTTTTATGAAAGATATAAGAGATGTTTTCTTTTCAGTAGATAATTAAACATATTTTCGCACACCATCTTTGTACACTTTTTAGGGCATTTTGAATCTGATTCAACAACTGTGATCACATTTTTCTTTATGATTGTTTCCAGTTCATCTGCGAATATTGTCGTATGTTAAGATCTGATATTAGGTCATCTACTACTAACGACAAAAATAGCGATAAAACCTTGAGGGCATCCGTGGTAGGTGTTATTTGTCTAGTCTGATGTCTAGGACTGTTTTTGTCCAAATCGTAATCGAAGGGCCTATACCCAGTTGGTTCGTGTAATTCTGTTCAAGCTGAAAAATTCTACTGAACGGCTTCTACTGAATCAATTATTTGTTTATTTTTAAAAATGTTGGTTCGTGAATCTCGTTAAGCTGAAAAATTAATCTATTGTAAATGTCAAAAATATATGTTAACAATGAAAATACAAAAATGGAAGAAAGAAGTCAATGCTTCTTGGGTCTTTCAGGTCTTTCAGCACATTGCTGGGTTTTTCGAATCCAAAACGTTTTACAAAGTGATTTTAATACCCTATGGTCAAAATATCAAAGTCCTACTACTTACTGTCGATGGAAAAATACCAAAATTTACAAAAATGGCCTGGGTGTATAACACTAACTAACATGGTAAAAATGCTGAAACTTTGGTTAAACCATAAGGATAGGCAGATCAGACTGATCGGATACGACCAAATTACTAAAATAAATAAATTATTTGTACTTGTTCAAAAAATAGATTTATGAATTTCTTTCAACCTAAAAAACTTAGAAAATTATTCTAAATATTTACATATTAGCTGTACCACCCTCTGTCTTTTTTTATATAAACGAAAGAACATCAGAAGATGGAAATATTAAAAAATACAAGGAATTCCCACCCTTTCAGAAATAAGTAGAACAACTGAAACAACAAGTGTAACTAGGCAATAAAAGAAAAAAAGAAGAAAAAAACAGAAAAGAATAGTTCAAATTAGAAAATAAAGATACAACAGCATTTCTAAATCAGTACGGTTCATAAAATTTGGTCAATAATAATATGAGTATAGAGATTGTCCATGATGGATAAAAAGACTTTTATACCTTTTTTTTAAAGAAAATAAATGTAATTATGTTCTTTTTTTATCCATAAAAAAAGGGTATAAAAGTCCTTTTATCCATCATGGACAATCTCTGTACTAATATTATTATTGACCAAATTTTATGAACCGTACTGATTTGGAAATGCTGTTGTATCTTTATTTTCTAATTTGAACTATTCTTTTCTGGGTTTATGCTTTTATTGCCTAGTTACACTAGCTGTTTCAGCTGTTCTACTTATTTCTGAAAGGGTGGGAATTCCTTGTATTTTTTAATATTTCCATCTTCTGATGTTCTTTCGTTTATATAAAAAAAGACAGAGGGTGGTACAAAGGAAAGTGGGATTGGCAGGACAGAGAACTGGAGTTGTACCAAGACAAGCAAGGAATAAACGCCAAGAGTAATAAAAAAAGGATAAAAGGCTCATCCACAATTAGACGTGATGAATCGGTACGAATCAGCCTATGGACTGCAGCCAGAGAACGCGTGAAATGAAGATTTTGGTATAAAAAACAAATCGTATTTATATTAATTTCTTCGGTGTTTTCCATCTGAAATGAGAAAAACAAAAACGTTTAGCAGATGAAAGTTCTATATTTTAGCCAAGTCAGCCAACTTTCAGATACGGGTCTAATGAAATTCTAACAGCAAGGTTTAATTATTCATAAAGTTGTTTGAACCAAATTCACCTGTATTTCAAAGCAATTTTATCCAACCGGAGCAAGGAGCTACGTGTAATATCGGCCCATTAAGCAAGTTTTTAATTTTCCTGGACGTCCAGAGGAGAATTTATTTGCGACTCGTGTTGGATGTAATAAAACATTGTGTATGAGAGTTGATTCTGGTCCGCCTATTCTCGCTTTTATACTGTTATGTACAAAACTAATTATTCTCAGATTATTCTCTACACGGTGTTAAAGGGGTAAATATCAACACTGCTAATGGATTCAATAAATTATACGTAATTCAGTGCCACCAGAACTGAACTATCGACTTGGGCGAAAACCTGGGCGAATATAAATGATCAAAATTGCTAAAAATGATGATGTGATCAATAAATGTCAATACTGGCATGATGGATTCACTAAATAAAACTTATTTTATTGCTACCAGAACGAGGTTTATATTTTGACTCTTTCCTGACATATCAACATTTTTGTGATTTTAGTTTAAAATCAGATTTTTTTTACATAAAATCGTAATTTCTCAATTTTATCATCATTAAAATACAAATCTGACCTTTATTTCGCAAACTAAATTAAATTTTCCGCAAGATAACATTTCGGTTGAATACACAGTAGCCGCTTAAAGAATAACAAATGGCAAAACCCATGGTTTTTTGGAAATAATCAAATGTGGCTCGTGCTAATTACTTTTTCATCAAAAATTTCGAGGATTTCACCAAAGTTGCCTTATAAATAAATGTTCCAAGACGTACTCACTTTTGCATTTTTTTAGTATTTTTCTTGGTGAAATCTCTTTTGCAAGGATGAGAAATGTGATATCGAACCTAAGGAGAGCAGCAACCCAAGATCATCATACATGTCAGATTTTTAATAAAAACATTTATTAGTTGGTAATAAAAATTAGATACTTCTCGTGGCATGGCAAACGAGGAGACCTGATTTGACCCCACTAGATTTTTACATTTCGAACAGTACGTAAGTTAATGTGCAAAAAATGCATAATTTATTGAAGTTTCATTTTCATTGTAATTTTTCTTTAACTATGTACAATTTATGAGAAGAATGTATCTAATTTTTGTAACCAACTAATAATCACAGAAGAATGGTGTAAAACCGCTGACTTAGGAATCAACCCCAATAAAACAACTATAGTCGGTTTTACACAAAAAAGGAAACTTGATCACATGAGGGAAATAACACTCAATAACACCGTGATAGAAATAAAAAATGAAGTCAAATATCTGGGCATCACACTAGATAAAACACCAGCATTTAAGAAACACATCAGTTCTACCATCATGAAGGCGACACGAACTTTGATGGTGTGCAGAAGAATAGCAGGAAGAAACTGGGGATGCAGACCGGAAACCCTTTTATGGATGTACACCATGATAGTAAGACCTTTACTTACACACGGAGCTATAGCCTGGGCTGATAAAGCAGAACAAGTAACTAAAAGAAAAGAACTCACAAAAATACAGAGCAATATACACTTGCACAGCACAAAATACACTTGCATGCATCTGCATAACGGGAGCAATGAGAACATGTCCTACAATTAGTATGGAAAAAATACTAGGATTAATCCCCCTTCATCACATGGTAATAAGGACAGCGCAGAAAACCATCGTCAACTTGACCAAAGAGAAACCTCCAACAGGAATAAAACTGAAATGGAGAGATAGCAATAAATTATGTAAAGACCATCCGATGCTCATGGCTCCAAGAGACGACATGAACAGGATGTTTGAATTTAACCAAAACTTCCTAATAAACCTGGGTACCAAAAAAGAATGGGAAAGAGAGGGAAACAACTCTTTTAAAAATGGCACCATACTCTGGTACACAGATGGATCTAGAACACAAGAAGGTACAGGGGCAGGAGTATTTGGACCTGGAACCAAATACTCAGAACCCATGGGAAAATACACCAGTATCTTCCAAGCTGAGATTCATGCAATCGAAA